CTTTGCGCGAAATTCAAAACAAACAAACAAACAAACAAATCGATATATGCATAGGAAGATCTTCCCAATCAAAATCTGAATACCTCTGAGATAACTTTCCAAATCGTTACTTTATATTACGTATTTGCTTTTTTTATAAATGTGTTCTACTAAATTTAGGAAAGCTACTTACCCATGAGGTTATTATGTGATCTTGCTTAATAATAACAGAGTATTTTCTTCCGCGAGACAGGAAGTGAATGTTTCTAAAAGTACCCTGTGTATTAGGTTTAGCGAAACGTAGACACAAACTGCGTGTGTTTTTGTTGAAGTTTTACCTTCAGTTAACTTCCTGTGATAACAAGGATTAGGATATTGTCAGAAACAGGCACGGCCACTACGGTAGGAAGTTTCTTGTTGCAGCGATTGTCGTGAACAATATTTTTAATTTATGTTTTATCGTTCATATCTGTTTTTTTTTTGTTGTTTGTTTTAATACCGTATTTATATATATATATATGTAATTTTTCAGGAACGGAAGAGGAGTGTTCATCACATATGTGGTGAGTACAAAGCAAATCTGTAATGAAAAAGAAAAGTAGTCCCATTATGTTTTTATAACATTTGTTCTTTCATACAAAATAGTCCCATTGTCTTATTATAACATTTATTGTGTCATATAAAGTATCCCCTATTGTATCCTTGGGACATTTATTCTGTCATAAACAGTAGCCTGAAGTAGCCTTATTGTGTCCTTATAACATTTGTTCTATCAAACAAAGAAGTTCCATCATGTTCTTGTAATATTTGTTGTGTTATACTAATTAACCCCCATCGTGTTCTTGTAACATCTGTTGTGTCGTATAAAGTAGCCCCCATTGTATCCTTGGGACATTTAATTCTGTCATAAAAAGTAGCCTAAAGTAGCTTCATTGTATTCTTGTTCTGTGTCATATGATGTAGTCCCATTGTGTTTTTTGTAACATTTGTTGTGTTATATGAATTAACCCCATCGTGCTTGTTGTGCTATACGAATTAACCCCATTATGATAGCACAAAGAGATATCACCAATGTTTTCACGTATAGTAAACTTAGCCAAGGAATATATACACACATTTGTAACGTGTTGAAATATTTATTTTATGTATTTGAAAAAATTATACTGTACTTGTTATCCATTGAATACACAGTTGTCTCATAGTCAAGACGAGTTTTCGGTTTACACATTTATATATTAAATTGACTATTTTTATCACTTTGCAGATGATAATACATCATCGGCTGCTATAACATTAAAAAAAAAACGTGACGTTGAAACATATGATAAACTATTACTGACTGTTATAAGTAATTGTACTGTTACGTCTCTGTTCGTTTGTTAATTTCCCGTAAAATTTCTTTCCGAGAAAC